AGGGCGGTCGGGTCCAGGGGACAGGGCTGGTGACAGCCCAGGGAGCCGCTGCAGGTGAAGCTCCCTACTGACCTTCCACCTGCTGTGCACCAACAGCTCACCTGCAGAGCGCCGTCTGCGCGGCTGACACCGTGGGCTAACAGGGGACCCATCGTGCAGCAGGACCCTACGCCTGAGCCCTAGAGGTCCTCCAAGAACCACGCTGGCCCAGAACGGCGTGAACAGCGTCCTGAGCATCTTCTACAGAGTCTAAACAAAAAGCAGGTCAAAAGCAGAAGGTGAACTTCTAGAAAGCCAGTCAAGCTTGGAAAATACCTGACACTGGAGGTGAACAGGCTGCTGGAGTGTTCTTGTACAATAAACTGTTGGAAATCACTGCATACGCTCTTCAGCTTGAAGATAAATTTCTGCTGAACAAACACTGACCTTTAAATTGCTGTTGAAAAACATCTGACGAAGCCACATGGCCTCAGAATTATGTTTGCAAAGTACTTGAGGCAGGAGACAGGGGTTATGCTTCAACAGCAATACTGCTTTCAGTGATAACCGCCCCCAATAATGTTCAGACTGAAGGCCTTACTTGCTGATTTCATTTGTTTTACTGTGGCTGCCTCTGCTTTCAGATGCTGTGAGCTGAAGTGAGAGAAGATTCCGATCGGCTGATTGTTTTCCAGTTAAAATTCAACCAAGGAAACACTGATGAACTGTAATAATCCCTGCAGTCTCAGAAAAAGGCTGCTGCTGAAACTCATTGGCACTTATGATCTATTTGGTGACAGAGTGAGAGGACGGTTCCCTCACAGCAACTACAGCCCTGCCAACGCCTCACATCGCATTCACGCAGTCCCATCAATACCCTAAGCCAATTTTAGCTACGGGCATACAGAAAAAACAAACCAGACTTTTGGCTAAACTGGAAAGTTCGTCCCTCTTTTTGCACGCAGGCAGTTGGTTTTGCAGTACTGTGGCTGTTGCACAAAACGACTTCAGACAATTTCACACAGTATTAGCTCGCTGTTGCCTCACCCAGCATTACTGAAGGTGTTGTGTAACGGGGAAAGCCTCAAGTTAACGCCGTATTCCTAGAGGCTGCAACACACTCGCCTCACAACCTGTATCGGTTCCAAGTTTATGTACAGAGAAGTAACACATTGCTGCATAGTCGGGGAAACATCACATCGAATTTTTTGCTCAAATCTCACGCAGATATTTTGTTAAAGTGCAAACTACTCAAAAATGGTACCTAAACACCCCAAATCACATTCAGAAAAAGTCTTTCGAAAAACTTCGGGCATTTTTTTTTTTTTTTACTTTCACAGTTGACAATTACCACCAAGGAAATCATCCCAATTCATTTCAGGTTGGTGAAGAAAGCGAGCAGGCATTTTCAAACACCGTTAGTCACAAGCAATCTTCTTTCAGAGCGACTGTTCGGGCTCATTCTGCACGCAGCCTCTTCACCCCCCCATGGCACTGCCGCCAGTAACACAGCTGGCGGTCACTAGGGTTTCCTTTTAAGAATACTGAGAGGGGGATCAGTCCGCTGAGCACGACCCCTAACAATTTGTTAACGTAGAGATTATTGTAACTACCCTTGCCATGTTTATTAGGCCCCGATTCAGACAAGTATTTACATGCATTTTTACCTTTAAGCATACACTTGAGTCCTAAATTTATGTTTAAATGCTGTCCTAAGTAGCCTCTTACTGGTTTTGCCATCCATAGGAATAAGCACATCCTGCATATCCACAACAAGTACATCAGCAGT